AAAAACGAACCATCTGGCATTTCGCCGTGTTACATCCAATCGGCCCCAAAATTGGACCAGAGGTGTATCGTACCCTAAATAACAACAATCCTGACTTATAGCCCCGTAGCTACAGTAGTTCTCCAGTTATAGCAAAAACAAACCTTAGTTTCTATTTTTCATAGGGTTTTCGTGGAATGAGACCCCCTAAACATTAAGTGAAAATGATCCGGTAGGCCTTCTTTACCTTAAGAAATTTCTTCCAAAGTAAAATTAATTAAATAAGCTTCGATTTAAGCGATTTTTACAACGCAAAATTACCCAAGATCTTAAGCGAAATTAGGGATTCACAGCCGGAAGTCGATGCAAATCGATGCATAGTCCAAAAAGATAGCCGAAAAAACTGTTCAGAATTCCGGTAAAAGTAGTATTTTCGTTATAACTCGAGAACGACTGTAGCTACGGGGCTAAAGGTCAGGATTGTTGTTATTTGGGATCTGATACACCTCTGGTCAAATTTCGGGGCCGATTGGATGTAACACGGCGAAATGCCAGATGGTTCATTTTTTTTGGGACACCCTGTATAATTTTTTCCATATTTTTTTCAGTATATGCCCACGGCACCCGTCACCTACCCCACGGCCAAGAAAAAATGTTCAAATGTTGGTGCTCACTTGCCAATCATCCATACCGAGGCCGAGAACAATGCTGTTTGGGGTCAGAAAATTTTATTATCGGCATATTATTTTTAACTTTAGCGCTATGGCGTTCTAAAAAAATCGCGTATCCATATCTATGGCTGGACGCGCAACGGGTTTGTGTTATTGGATTTTTGGGTTTTTGGACGTAATATAGAGCCAGTCGCACAGCCCATATTTTGCTGAATACGTTAAATACTAGCGCTGAGCTTCAAAACCGACACTAATTTTTTGATGGTCATACATAATGCAAAGTTCAGCCTCCGGGCGCCGGAATGTACGATTTTCGGTGGTCCGACGGGACCTCGCTTAAGAACTATCAGCGGTACGACATGGTACTCGTTGACGATCACGGAGGTCAAGAAAACTGCCTTCAAGTAGATTAACTTTCTCTTTGCCTGTGTTTTATGCTATCCAGATGACCATCAATAATTTGTGGAATGACGTGCCGAACAACGTGACGTGTTTCGTCATCTGTGAAAAACCGGCGGTAATTTTGCTGATTTTTTATTGAAAGCGATTTGATAATTTTATTTGACGTGTTTTCAGGTATGGCGAAACGCGAAGGGGATGCAAGTCTATCCAAAATTGACCTGAAAATAAGTAACAGGAATTTTTTTCTTATGTTAATGGTCGAGCAAATCGTTACTCTGAATAAACCGATTTGTAATGCAACCTGCCCTTAATATTAAATGTAAAAAATGGAACTTGAGAAGCCTGGTGATAAAGGAAAGCACTGTAAAAAAACAGCTGTTTTTCCTCTTTCGACAAAAAAAACACTGGCCAATTTCCCGATTTTTGTGACCTGGATCAGGTCGAAATGGTGCAGATTTTTGCACCAGTGGCGGGTCAAAACGGTCTCAAATTGTTTGTGGCTAAACAAAGTTAGAAGATGCAGTAAAACTGCAAAAAACTCTCAAAATTGCAAAAAACCAGGAAAAGAATTTAGCCCTCTCACTGTCAAAAACCATTACCTCTTTCAAATGGCAAGTCGTCATGACGACACCCTCAGAATTCACCATTTTTAAGCTCTATTCTCAAAATGCAACGGGAAGGTTTTTTCCTAATCATGCTACTCGTTGATACGCTAAATCCTGCTGAGCACCGATTCGTGAAAATCCATAGTTTTGCTACGATCCCGCAGGCGGTCTGTTTTGCGCGCTGTGTCCGACTTGGAAATGCGTGCAAGGGGATAGGTTGTAATTCGTATTTTCGCGACCAAAAACGCTTTTCAGATTCAGATTGCGTCATATACGGTGCGCAGGACGGGTCACCGGATTTTTACTACCTGAATAGCTCACTGGGGCGGACTGGATCGATATCGACCGGCAAAACTGTCGGGAAATGTTCAACGGAGTTTTGGGACGTGCCAAATGTAATGTTACGAGCTCAAAGTTTCCAATAAAATGTAATGATTTAGGCATATTGTGGAGACGGTTGGACACTAATCAATAAAATGGATAGGTGCTTTAAGGTATTATATTTGGATTCTCATCCGCAACATTTCAGTACTGGGACGCAGAGCTTATGAGCTTCAGCGTCGCCAACAGGCCCGTAGGAGGGGGGGGGCCCAGGGGGCCCTGGGCCCCCCGAAATCGGTCGAGGTCCGAAAAATTCATAAGGGGGGACCCTTATGATTTTTAGTTACAAAAATTTTTCTGCCTGCGGCGCTGTTTATTACTGTTTTTCAAACAGTTTTTACTTATACGAAGCCTATTTGTTCAAAATTTTTTGCCTGCGGCGCTGGTTTTTCATTAGTGAATCAATTGTTCATAAAAAATTTGGCCTGCGGCGCGTTTTCTGCCGTGTTTTCATACGAATTTGAGTGTAGCAAACGCTTTTTTGCTATTTTTTTGCCTGCGGCGCTATTATTGACGCGATTTTCGGATGTTTTAAAAGTGGTGACCGGGGAGGTCGCCAAGGGTCCCCCCCGAAATTTGGGTGCCGCTACGGGCCTGGTCGCCAAGCAGAGATGCGAGGCGGCAAATGCTAGCCTGCCCATTATCCATTCCGCTGTTGAGAACAATGCTATTTGGAGTAAGCGAAGATACGCGAAAACGATATCCTGTGCCTGAAAATTCAGGATTCTGGCCCACGAAAGGTGTTGTTAAGGCTGCGGTTTGGATCGGAGCGACGAGGCTTGGTTTCTGTGATATGCTTGCTCTCTTTCTGTCCCTCTCTCTCTCTCTCTCTCTCTCTCTCTCTCTCTATCTCTCTCTCGTTTCTTGATAACTGTGATATATATTAAGGTTGGTGTTCGAATGTACGACTTCGAATGGATCGATGGTTCACGGGTTGCGTATGACCGTTTTGATCGAGCAATTCTTGATAACGTCGATGGCAACGAGGGCTGCCTTGAGGTTTGGAAGCTTCGTCCGGCATAAATCACCTTGTTTTTTAGATGGGCGTTGATGGTTTGTGGAACGATAGCCCGTGCGCAAAGCCGCGCTACGTAATTTGCGAAAAACATCCGGTCGGTTAAGCTGATTATCCGATTTTTTTCAATTTTTGCGGCTTTAAAAACTGATTTCTAGGTTTGGAAGAACTCCAGAGGGGCGGAATGGCCCTATCCGTGAGCCGGTCGCGAAACGAGCCGCCTCGTCGAGTGACCCGAAAAATAACACTCAGCGTTAGATGTCATTGTTGTAATAAAATCAGAAATTGAATTTTGTAAAACGCAAGGATGATGTATCGGTAAAAGATCCCTATAAAAAACTGTCGAATGCATTTCTCTAATTCTTTCTGTATTTTTTTTGAACTTCCGAAACCACTTTTCATTCCAGTCCATCCACTTCCATGACAATGGCGCTCGGCATAAAAACGAATGTCCCTTCTTTTTCCGCTTTCTTTGTTCGAGAAAGTCAAGGAGAAAGTCCGTGAAATGTTGCGGGCCCTACTTTTGTTTCTGATAATAAAAATCAGCCTGGAGCGGATTCAATTTGTACGCCGCCAATGTCCTACCTACGATGCCGTGCCGGCTACGAATTGCTTTATTAGTTGTGCATTATTGGGGCAACAATGCAAGGGGACAGGTATATTTTCATCGAAGATATTTAAAGGGATTGACAAAGCATGACTATGGTTTTGTGGCATATGCATATCCTGATTGATTTAAACCAGTTGCACCCGCCTAGATGCGACCTGCAGACTCTATCTTAAGACAGATCCGGATCCCGACTATTTCTTTCTGGGCAGCACGATTGGCAGCAAGGCTTTCGCGGCTACCGGTGAATCCAAGGATACATGCAAATCAATAGTGGATTTACCAGTGGTAATGTATACCTTTATTGGGTTTCAATATCATGTAATTATTATTTTTATCTTTAAGACGGCCTGTGACGGTGGATGGACGCTGGGGAATAACACGGATAAATGTTTTAAGGTATGGGAGAGGGTCAGCTGGGACAGAAAAGGAGAGAGAGAGAGAGAGAGAGAGAGAGAGAGAGAGACAGCGAGAAGCTAGCTATAGTTATTTAGTTTATCACCGGTTTCACCCTCGGCTTTGAAAAGGCACAAAATTATTGCTATAACCTGACCGCCACACTGCCGATTATACACTCGGCTGCTGAAAATAAAGCGGTTTATGGTAAGCCAAACTACTTTCGATTTTTTCAAACTAGATGCTGAAGATTTATGGCAAAAGACGGCAAACAACAAGCTCTACGTGTGGCTTGGCGCCAATAGGGTAAGCCGCTTTCGTCCTCTACCTCGCTTGCCCTCTCTTTCTGTCACCCGCTCTCTCCTCATTCATTCTCCCTCTCGCTCTCTCTGCCCCTCGCTCTATAGCCCTCTCTGTCTCACTCCGCCGCACTCTGTCTCTCGCTGTCTCTCTGTCTCTCTCGCCTCCTATCGACGCCATTTCAGACGGGCCCTGATTTATACGACATTACCTGGATAGATGGCACCAGCGTAGATTTTGCAAATTACGATTCCGAAAAATTTGATGCCTGGGGCGGATATGAAAACTGTCTAGAGGTCAGCAAATCCTAAAAATAAGAGCTCAAAAACGCGTTTTTCAGCTAAACCCGACAAAGGGCTGGAATGATATCTATTGCGAGGATTCACATTATCTGATATGCCAAAAACATGCGGTGAGAACTTGAATGATATGCAGCAGCTTAGTTCATTCTGTTTAATTAAATTTAGCAATGTAATATACCAACCACCTTTAGAACTGGATCTATCCTACCGGCTAAGGAGTCTCTACTATTAGTTTCGGAGCCCGAAGATAGTATGATAGCGGCGTTGCCATGGAAATAAACAACTTCGCCTTTAGACAAAGCAAAAATACGCCTTAAAAAAACCTTTTTCTTGGAATTCACTAACAAGGAGTGCTTTTTTGAGTCGTCGGCAAGACCCTACGACGACACATAGCTCATTCGATAGAGAGTTGAATTCTGAACAAGGCGCCGCTGTTCATTTTTGCGGAATAGCTGTCTCTGATCTCTCTGCTCTTTTTTGTGTAGAAAGGAAAACGGAATAAAGATAGCTGTTTCACGCAAAAAATCACCATAGCCACTCTCATTTTAGCGGTGCTTACCCCTTCATCAAACGTTCCACCACGTGCTCAAAAAAACAGCCAACCCCAGGGCCGTAACAAACCCAAATTTCGGGGGGGGCGACCCCAAAAATTTTTCACTAATATGACTAAAACTATAGCGCCGCAGGCAAAATTTTTGAAAACATATGGTTTATAACACTAAAACTAGTGTTAAAAACAGCCAAAAACAGCGCCGCAGGCAAAAAATTTTTTGGAAAAATTGAATCATAAGGGTCCCCCTTTATGTACTTTTCGGCCTTCGGCCGATTTCGGGGGCGGCTCGCCCCCGTCCCCTCTTACGGGCCTGGCCAACCCCCATGAGGACGAGTCCTAAAGTAGAAATTTAGGGACCATGACAGTTGAGCAACGACGTTTGAGCAAATCGGGAAAAACGACGTTTGAGCAACTTTCGTAAGAAAAAAAAGAAAATGCATGTAAAATAGCCGTGTTGATCGCTTTTTCTTAGTTTTAAAAATACTTTGTGCTAACTAAAGGGTTCTAAAGCTTAAATTATACCCCGGATAGGCCGACTTTCGCGCCGTGGTTCCCTTTTGATGCCACTTTGTGTGCATTCACTCCAAAATGTAGTTTTATCCGGTTTTCTCTTTATTGTTGGTTTTTCGGCACCATTTCTAGCTCAGATGCATCCACATGTTTGATAAAATGGCATTTGGAAAAGAAAAACTAATCAAAACATGTCTTTTATTGACGATCTGTTGGAACTTTCAGGTCAAAACCCAGATTCGATTCTTATGTTTACTTTCCTGATATCCTACTATATATAAAAAAATAGTGTTTGTGTGTGTGTGTGTGTGTGTATATTTGCATGCACTTCCGTTAGGATGTTCCGCTCCTACAGCCTCGGGGAAGGGTTTTTTGGATGGGGAAGAAACGACAATAGGTTTAGAATGGTCCGGAATCGACTGCACACACATAAAAATTTTGAAAAATTGTGGTTTTCGCTATTAAAAATAGGTTTTTGTAAAACCCTGTTTGTTAGGGGAAATTACCATACGCCGGAAGTTCGAAGTTCGAAGTTCGAAGAGTTCGAAGATATATAAAGGGACAGAGGAGCCGTTTTTCACTTTTTTCTTGCTAAGATTCAGGAAGAAACATGCAAATTAAGGACTTTCACAGGTCCTGGACGGGGCCAGGGTTGAAAAGCCGCGAAGCGGTTTGTCAACCCTGGTTATAAACTTGTTTCTTTACGTAGTCTGACGAAAAAAACGCCATACGGAAGCACAAAACCTTCAAAAACTAGGATCTTCAGGACATTCAAGGCTAATTAGCTGAAAGAAATACATTCCCTGTGAAACACGGCCGATCCGGGGTATAATTTAGGCTTTAGAAGGCTTTAGTTAGCACAAAGTATTTTTAAAACTAAGAAAAAGCGATGAAAACGGCTATTTTACATGCATTTTCTTTTTTTTCTTACGAAAGTTGCTCAAATGTCGTTTTCCCGTGTTTGCTTAAAAGTCGCAGTTGCTCAAACGTCGTTTTTCCCGGTTTGCTCAAACGTCGTTGCTCAGATGTCATGGTCCCGAAATTTATGTCCTTCCCTGCGCCGGCGGAATCCAAAGAGTCCGCGTCTCAAAGTTTAGCATCATGCGGAAGTTCCTACTTTCTTTTCCGCTTCTTAACGTTCGCCTTGCCCAGATATATTCCGTTAAACGAACTGATCCTAATTACACCCTTCCGCTTACGATCTGTTTTGCGAGATATGCGGAATAAATAAATATTTATAAATTGAATTAACAGAAGTATTCCCAAAAGGGAAAATACTCGCCGAAGCGAGCGATAACCCCCGAAGGGGTAATATCTGCCGAAGCAGACGGGGTTCCCGAAGGAAAATACTTGCCGGAGGCAAGCGGAAGTCCACAAGGGACAATACCACTCCATAAAGAAGCGGCGGGTACTCGTCAAACGAGTTATCATATCTAAGAAATATGAAGGAGGTGCCTGTTTCGACCCTTAATCCAAGACAGGCTTAAAATACGTCAGGGTGGGTCTCCTCAGCTGGATCCCTGACGTTTTAGAGGTTAAATAGGAGGTTGAATGAGATTATAGTTGGAAGAGGTAGGTAGTAAAGTGTAAAGAATTAAACGTAGAAGGAAAGGAAGCTAATTTAAATGGAGGACTATTTTAAGTGTTTTTCTTCTCCACGTTTTGGCCCTCTTTGGGAGGCTTCCTTAGCTCGGGGCACAGCGGCCCGGCTCCTAATAAAACGTCCGGTGGCTTTGGAAACGAGGGAAGACCGCAACGCGTGCGATAGACGCGTCGCGCAATTGCGAAAGCAGGCCTGCGTAGCTAAAAACCGGTTGCTATTCCGCGCACCCGCACGCAACGCGCGAAAAACACGTACAGTACGCCCTTTCCCTTGAACCATCTGGACCGAACCCATGGGCGGTTGTGGGGGGAGAGCCGGGGAAAGCCCGTGTCGAAAGGAGTGGAATGTAGGGTAGCGTAATCGGAGGTTAGGCCAACAGGAAGAAAGGAAAAGTGAAGTTAGAAAAAGAAAAGGTAGATAAAACTAAAAGAAGAGTAAAGAATTAAATAAATTAGTTAGAGTTGGGGTTGTTGATAAGGTGGATGAATTTTTTAGGGTTAATGTCGAATGTCGTATAGGGTTACGGTGGAGGAACCGGTACAAAAATAATAAAGCAAAGTGATCGAAAATTCAGATGCCACTTGCAAGCCCTATAGTGATTTCGCGGATCAGGATACAGACTATTACATTTTGGGGAGTACGGTTGGAGGCGCGAGGCGGGTTTTGTAGATACTGGAGAGATTGCTGAAACATGTGAAACTTACTGCCGCACCAACGGTAAATTAGACTACACTCTTCAAAGCTTTTTTGCGTTTTTGGTTAGGCTCTGGGCAATCGGACGGACAGTTGCTTTATGGTGAGAAAAATTAAGCCTGTTTTCCAGCTAATTCCCTCAAATTTGCTGACTGTGGAGGGTATGAAGACTGCCTCGAGGACGATCAACCTCCTCGACGCCTTCGAATAAGCTATGTAGATGCTTTTGTAAAAAGTCCCTTTTTAGCAAAATCCTAAGAAAGCGTTGAACGACATTTATTGTGATTCATCGCATCTTATATTGGTCAACACCTTAGCACGCAAGGTTACGGTAGGTGCTAAACGTTGGCCAAAACTGAACCCTGACCACTCGGCCCGGGATAAGCGCCATAGACCACTCGGCCATGGGTGGGACGGGAGGGAGAGAGGGGCGAGGGGTTATGAAGCGTGCCGATGTCCGTTCGATAAAAAATTTAAAAAGCGGATTTTATTACACGAAACAAATGAAGCCTAGAAAGATAGAAAGAAAAAAGCAATTAGAAAGAGAGAAAAATTTCGAAATCGCCGTACTGTGAACGGGGCCATAACAATGGTCGTGCCTTGCCCATTCCTTTAGGCGGTGCTCTCCTGCGTCTTGGCCTCCCGCACCGAGATCACGGACGATTTGTCGGAAAAAACACGACGCGAGGATTGTTTCCCAAACACTAGGGTGACGAATTCTTCTGGAATTTTTTGCGTTTAAAGCTAGGAACTACGAAAATCACCCTGAAAGGCGCGGATGAATAGGAACGGCAGGGCAACGGCCAAGAAAAGATACGCACGCCCGCCTATTCGAAGGAGGAGGTCGATCAGAAATGGGACGCTGATTTCTGAATTTAACGTATGAATTATAAAAAATGGCGGCTGGGGGGGGGTAAACTGCACTCTACCCCATTAATAAGCAATCTACAGTTACGGTAACTCACTCGTATTTGCCAATGTGATTTGCAGGACCGTTCCGGACTGTAGAATGGCGGGCAGGGTGCTGGACAGAATCAGGCCGATCTGAACGTTTCGCTGGGCGGCTTGGGTATAGGATGACTGCGATTTCCCTGAATTTAATCGTAGATTGATACCTTTCTGTTAGTCGTCGTCGGTTGATTAAGAAAATAGTCTTATTTTCCATTTTTTAGTGCCATTTACCCTTCATTTTTTTATACTGAGAACGCAGGAAGAATAATATCGATAAGTTCAAACTGGCCGCCACAATATCGTAGGCGATGAAGAAGCAGATTACGTTCTAAAAATTCTGAATTTTTTCGCTGCTATTGCCTTACAAAATATCCTCCAAGCTTCGTCGTAGTAATAATCGGATTGCAAGTGTCATTATAACCCAGTTCCCCGAAAAATGCGGCGATTATGGCGTGGGCCAGCTTAAAATTTAATTTGAATTTTTAGGGTTTGAAGTACCTGGCGTGAATAGAAGAGAGCCCCGACGGCAAGAAGCCCCAGGAATGGCATATCGTAATCGAGGATGATGAGGCAAAAACGGCTGACGGAAACCACCTAAAAACTGATTTTTAGAGTCGTTTAAAATGAGCTTACAACCATAAACACATCGACATAATGATTTAGATAATAGCTGGTGGTCTTGAAAAGCATACAGATGAGTGCGTTCGTCTAAAAATACTCTAGTCTTGTATAAATAATGAAATAAAACTTTGCAAGATGTTCAAAATTGTCTAAAATCGTCTAGAAAACTAAAAATCGTGGCATGGAAGCATTTGTATTTTCGAACAAATCAAGCACAAAGCACAAAAAAACAGTTTCCTTTTCAGCTCATAATTTACCTTAAGCCCCCAATAACTGGCCGTAATCATCCACAAACAATTGCAGCCCCAATTGAACACGTATACCGCGTTACCGTAGCTCACCAGAAATACCGAATTCTTGATAAACCTAGCTTAGTTGAAAATTCTATTAAAACACATACCCTATATACCAGATACAAATCTCGTTTCTTGAATTGGAGATACACAAGAAATAAGAAAGGCAGGGCAGCCGGGGTGCTAAATTTCAATAAAAAAGTTGGTTCTAGGTACCTACGTAAAAGCTCCGTCCATAATGGCGCTTGGCAGATAGGCCTGGCTAAAATTCGACTTGACCATCCAGAAATCCATAACCTTTACTTTCTCGCCTTCCTAAAAACTAATCATTTTTCTAGTTCGAAGCCTGTCATTTGTAGTCTAAAAACTCTAAGATTAAAAATTACGTAACCTTTTGGCTATACATACCCTTGAAAATTCAAAATTGAAACGAAATCCGCGAAACCTAACACCAAAATGCCAAGCGAAACCAAGACCACCCAAGCTATGGGAATTTTTGCCATTTTTCGGGTGATTCAGGGTACTAATTGTCGGCTTTATACCGTTTTAATGAAAAGAAAAACGTTGACTCTTAGCAATATGCTCCTTCAGGCGTCCGTGGGCGTGAGAATATATGCAAAATATGGAAAAATCGGAAGTGTGGGGGGTGCATGACGGCGTTTTTGACCTCGTGCTCGATCATATGCCATTTGAGCTCTTTTTATTTGAGATTTGACCACAAACATCAGGCTCCATTTGTTTAAAACTTAGTCTTTGGTTAAAAACGCCATTTTAATATAAGAAAATCCATAAAATAACTATTTTCCTTGAACTTAACGTTACATAAAAAACACGGTCTATTATAATGCTATCTATGTTCTTGAGAGGAAATCCATTAGCTTTTATTACCCTCATATGTTACGAATCAACGCGCCTGCCACTTTACAGCTTCCACGACAGGCCAGCTGCCGCCTTTCCACCAACATGTACGAGGTCAGGCCCGGAAATCTCCTGACCACTTCGATCCCTTGATCTTTTCACGTGGTTACTCCTGCCCAAGTAGGTTAATTACCGCATAGGTTAGGTGCTATAAAGCTGAGATCGAGGCGTTGAGGCTTGATCGCCAAAGCAACGCGAAAATGGCGATAACGGTTCTGTTATTTATGCTGTTTTTACAATATTCTACCGCGAGTATGCCGCCGGGAAGTGATGCGAGTAGGTTCATATTTAAAACGAGAGACCAGGGTTGAAAAATGTAAAAACGTGAAACGAAAAATCAAAAACAATCGAATGAAAACGATCCGCTTCCAGCTTTACACTTCCTGTTGTGGTGAGAAAGCCTT